GAGAGAGAGAGAGAGAGAGAGAGAGAGAGAGAGAGAGAGAGAGAGAGAGAGAGAGAGAGAGAGAGAGAGAGAGAGAGAGAGAGAGAGAGAGAGTTGGGGTCTGTGTGTATGGTTTGGCGCTTTGAAACTCTGCAGTGCTGTTGGAGTTGTTTTGGAAAATCAAGTTTTTCGTACGATTTATATAAGTATTTATATGTTAGCAGTAAATCATGTAATGGTTTGGTCTCTATTTGCTGCCAGTATTAGAGGATAAGGGATAGGGCTATGAGTGAGTCCTGTGTTGTGTGAGACAAGAATACCATTAGATTTTCAATATATAAATGCGAGGATAAGTGTGTTGTTGTGCACATAGAGTGAAGAGTGAGCACCAGTATATTCCGGGTGCAAATGTTGGTCTCAAATACCATTGCTGTACATAAAACCGAAATATATGGTAAATTGTGTGCAGTCTTTGAACAGTTATCTATCTTTCTCTGAATTGTAGAGTCCATACCAAACACACACTTACATATCGAAAAGGGTGAGTTGTGTGTGATTTGAATAGCCATCACAACTACAGTATACAGTATATTGTATTGAAGAAAATATTCTGTCGTCTATTATATATCTGTGACTCTATTTCTCTTTGGGTTTCCGAGAAATCATTCTTTCTGTCAATTCATTTCATATACGAGTGCTCTCTGTCTTCGCCAACACATTGCCAGTGGAGAGAGTCATAGCCTTCGCCTTCAACTTATCGTATATCGTGTGTATGTTTTAGTGGTGGTGTCGATGGTGTCGGTGCTCCCAATCCATACCATACTATACCATACCATTCACTCCAATCATACAAAACACATCCAATACTCAGCGCTCATAACATGTGAATGAATAGCTGTTATTCAGCGAAAGGGAGATAGTATTGAAGGGACAGTCAGTTTGAGAGAGAGAGAGAGAGCACTCGTATATGAAATGAATTGACAGAAAGAATGATTTCTCGGAAACCCAAAGAGAAATAGAGTCACAGATATATAATAGACGACAGAATATTTTCTTCAATACAATATACTGTATACTGTAGTTGTGATGGCTATTCAAATCACACACAACTCACCCTTTTCGATATGTAAGTGTGTGTTTGGTATGGACTCTACAATTCAGAGAAAGATAGATAACTGTTCAAAGACTGCACACAATTTACCATATATTTCGGTTTTATGTACAGCAATGGTATTTGAGACCAACATTTGCACCCGGAATATACTGGTGCTCACTCTTCACTCTATGTGCACAACAACACACTTATCCTCGCATTTATATATTGAAAATCTAATGGTATTCTTGTCTCACACAACACAGGACTCACTCATAGCCCTATCCCTTATCCTCTAATACTGGCAGCAAATAGAGACCAAACCATTACATGATTTACTGNCTCTCTCTCTCTCTCTCTCTCTCTCTCTCTCTCTCTCTCTCTCTCTCTCTCTCTCTCTCTCTCTCTCTCTCTCTCTCTCTCTCTCTCTCTCTCTCTCTCTCTTTCATTATTGATTTATTTAGAGATTTCTTTATAAAAACACATTTGAGATATATTTTGTTGTGTAGTATTTCTTTGTCGCATCTGTTAGTGAAGTAGTAAACAAAAGTTGATATATATTTTTGTGAACAATTTTATTCAATACTTTTTTGATTTAAAAGTTACATTCATCTCATGATAGCGTTTACATATAAAAGAGATTTAGATTTTTATAAATATATCAAAAAACTATTTTTAGAGAAGAAAGAGCAGAAGTTTATGCACTTTTCTAATGCATATTTTCATCGGTTGAGGACAAACCCAAAGGATATTATATATCACTTATGTCTGAGATTTTTCATGGCTTAGGAAAGAGAGTGTAAGAGAAGGAGAGACTGACAAAAATGTTTGCGAAAAATGCAAAAAACTGTTTATTAGTGCATATATTTTGCATACAAAACAAACGTCTCGGCAATTATTTGCAGACAGAATACACAGTCAAACGATTTGACGGCTTTTGAGTTATTTTAATGTGATTTTCAGTAAATTACTATTAATTTGTTTGTTTGTCTGACGATATGTTTAAGCCGTTTAAGATTTTTAAAAACTTGTAATATATTTCATTCAAAAAGTTATTGTTTTTCCTTTTGAAATATCAGTCGTAATCTCATATACAGTGAGATTGTATTGAAATCTTGTTTCTGTTGCCCAGAAGTATTCAATCAATGAATAATTCATATCCCATAACAAAACTTATATAAATTTTTATATTTTATATTAAATTTGAATCAATTTTTTATTTCGTTTTTCATAACTTTTTTGTACGAGAAGTTGACTTACATTTTGAATGGTTTTTGAGTGAAATAAAAAGTAATAAAATATAGAAATTTGTTTTTTAAGTAGAAAATATTAAAATATATTTTTGTTTAAATAATATTTTAGTATTATTTTCTGAGAAACAGCAAAAATATAATTCTCATTCACTTCCATATAAACCAATAAACTATGTCTGAGTTTACATAACTATCGGCGTATAGTTTACTGTATATATCTGTGTATCTAAAAAATTAATACATAATTCATGATTGAGTTTTTTTGTGCAAACATTTTATAATTTATTTGATAAGAAACACAAATAAATAAATAATAATAAATAAAAAAGTAAACTTAATAATAAAATTATGCTTTGTTTTGGGCTAAACATTTAAACGAGAAAAAATATATAAATCTAAATAAGTCTATTGTTTTAAAATTATAATGTAATCTAAAATAAACAAGATGAAAACAAATTATAATATTCTCTGAAAGCCATTTGTATGCCAAATGAGATTTTCACACCAGATATAAATTACATTTTCATACTATCGCTGCTTTTCATTGTATAATTAGTATTGGAAATTAGGGTATATTGTGAACAAACATGATATTTGTGAACAACAAATAACTGCACATCCATATAACGATTTAGTTGGGGCACTCACTTAACCCCACGAAAACAACATATGCTGTTCAGTATAAACGGGTGGTTCACTATATCTATAAGACACACACAGAGAGTACTGTTTATTATTATGGTGTTTAAGAAATGTGTTAATAATTAACACTTCTGTAAAATAGAGATTAGTTTTGAAAAATAGTGAAAATATTTTAAACCATAAAATACTTAAAAATTCTTATTAAAGCCATTGGTTTATATATTCTCGCAGACTATTTGAATACTTTTATATATACTGTATATATAAATATTTTTACAAAATTAAATTTTATATAAAGTTCCGATTTTATTATGAGAAAACTTTTTTTGTTGTTAAAATTCGTATAAATCATGTTATAAACAGTACTTCGCAAAGGAATTCAATGATTGATTGAGCAAATCATTGAATTTCATATTAAAAATTATAATATCTTTTGATTTTATATTAGAAAACACTTTACATATTAGATGTAAATATACTGTACTATGAATTAAAAGAAAATGTATTTTAATTTGTATGAAAACAAATTAATACATTATTTATTAATCGCATTTACATAATGTTAGGGAAGAGATGCTATGAAAAGTATTTTTCGTTTACTCGTATATAAAAGGAATGGAAAATGTGTTTACAAAACATGAATACAAGAAACTCATATAAAATAATATTCAAGACATATACATATGCTGTAAATAAAGAGCTCTCTCTCTCTCTCTCTCTCTCTCTCTCTCTTTCTCTCTCCTGTCAGACCCCCCGATAGTATCGCAACAATTGTGTAACAAAACGGATAGATTTATACGAAAAAAGGGAAATATGATTGTCTGATAGAGGGAGGGGTCTGAGGGATACATATCACGAATTTTGCCTTTCGTTCGCCAAAACAATAACAAAAATAACTTTTTATATTTTCTTCTTCTTTCACTACTTCTCTGTTCAAGACTTCAAAGACTGCTATTTGTTATTCAATCAATCATTTGCTTATAATACACATTAGGATCACTGTTTGAAGCGTTGGATAACATTTTGATTTCGGGTCTCTCTCTCTCTCTCTCTCTCTCTCTCTGGGCCTGTCATTTACACAACACTCTAAATACAATTCCTGAATAAAAGATTATATAGATTTAAATATTGTTCATCTCTCTC